CCCTGTGGGAGTGGGAACCCCTCTAAGTGTGGAGAGTTCCCTGCACCGAGATGCCATGCATCAGCCGGCTCCCGCTCACCCCAGGTTAACGTCTCCCCAGCTGTGCAGTCTCCCGTCCCACTTTCCTCCCTGCCAGGCACCCCCGTCCTTACCACCGAGTGTACGGCAGGAATTCAGGCACAGGGATGCCCAAAGCAACACGAGCCCACCGGCTGTACAAACAGCAGAATCCCAGCCCCACCTGGGCTCCATGGGGATAGTAGGTGTCCTCACCTTTCATGTATCGAAGGCAATCTGCTTCTTCAGCTGGAGGCTATAGAGAAAAATAAAAGGCCCAAAACATAGTTCAGTGAGGAATTCCTCCAAGGACCTGACTCCAGAGTCTACAATCAGGCTTGCTGGCCGCTCCTATCCCCGGACTTGGGGTGAAGTGGTCAGCCCACCCCCGGTGGCCCAGCTCCTCGGCTTGGCTGCCCAGAGGGGGCTGGGGGAATGGGCAAGGCCAGGGCACTCAGGAAGAGCACAGAGGCCCTGTCTTCTCCCCTCCACACTTGTAAACCCTTCCCCAAATCTCAAGGCATCGAACAGAGAGCAGCCACAATAAGGAGATGCTCCCATCTCTTCACTCACTCATGTCTGTTCACTTACGTGCTGAGCATCCACTGGGTCCCAGGACATGACACACAGGATGGCCGATGGGACAGGCTTGGTCCTTCTTCCTGGACCCTGTTCAAGCTGATGGAAGAATGATCACTCATAAAACGTTTCTCAAAAGGATACATAGACCAAAGACAAACTGCAGAGTGAATCAAATTTAAAAATATATATGAAGATCCCCCAGTCTCCCCGCCTAAGGTTAACAGCATAAAGCAAAAAGATCTTGCCTTTGATCACCAAGGAAGCTGTCACCCCCTCTCAGGAGGCAAGGAGAGTTATTCTTTGAGCAGGACACAGAAGTGCTCCATCGGATTGGACCAGGGCCTCTGCATTCATTCAGCAAATGTGTATAAGCTCCTACTACATATGGGAATCTAGTAACTAGACCTGTTCCCAAGGGTCTTGGGCTTTATTAGTCAACAAAATAGACACGACTCCCCATCACTGGGGGCTGAGAGTTTTAGCAGAGGAAACAGGCAGCATGTTGGGGTAACAAGAGCTTGGGGAAAGAAAAGAGTAATATGAGCAAACTCAGGTGATGGCGGTGGGGTGGGAGGCAGGAGGGAATAAGGCAATCCTGGCAGATCTCACGGAGTAATGAACTTGAAGCAGAATAGATCCGGATGAAGAAGGAAGAGCCGAAGCCAGAGACCCCCAGAGTGAGGGCGAGAGTGTGGGTTGAGGGGCAGAGCATGCCATGTCCTGGAGGCCTTTGTGACAACTTTGGCTCCTAATGAATTGGTGACCCTTTTAGTGAGTTATGATGGGATGGGTGATGTACTCCAATTTATGCTTTTGTTTTGGTTTTTTTTGGGGGGGGAGAGTAATTTATTTATTTTAATGAAGTTGCTGGGGATTGAACCCAGGATCTCATGCATGCTAAGCATGCGCTCTACAACTGAGCTGCACCCACCCCCTCAATGTATGCTTTTAAAGTCTCCCTCTGACTCTATGTGGATGAGAGATTGTAGAAAAGCAAAGGTGGAAGGAGGCTATTTGGTGTCCAGGAAGGGGCTGAAACTGGCTCCTAGGAGGACAGGGAGCAGGGAGTAGGTGGTTAATGAAGACAGAGTAGCCAGAATTTTCTAACAAGCTAGATTTGCTGTGTGTGTGTGTAAGAGAAAGAGCGAGAAAGGACATGGTTCCAACATCTGGGCCTGGACAATGGAAAGGATGCCCTCTCTATCCACAGGGGATGGGACAAGTTGGGGCTGAGCAGGTGGAAAGGGGCTGGAATCAGCTCAGTTCTTCAATATCATGGTTAAGGGGTCTGCTAGATATTGCCACAGAAATGCCTAATAGGTAGAGGAGTCTGGGTTTTATTTTCTTTTTAACATTGAAAATATATAATTTAAATGTATTAATTGTATTATGTGAATGAATTTGGGATTTTGTTTCATGCCAATCTATATGTTATATACAGCCAAATGGAAAATATATCAGAAAAGGGGAGAAATGAGGGCTTTCACATAAACTGACCATCCATAATGTA